GTGTGTGTGTATTCTTAAAGCCACACATGTGCACACAGATGCACATACACATGCATGTATGTATATGCATATACATATATAGATATACGTACTTCCTGCTCTCTGTATAATATTACATTTATGTATATTTCCAGGGCTGACAATTTGGTACTGAATAACCAATTAGTTTGATCTCCCCTGGTCTCTTTCTCCTACGTTAAGTGTTTCTTAGTTGTCTGTAGTTCTTCATGTAGGGGTAAGGCCTTCTTGGAATTCACAGATCTATGTTACTGGGTCAACTGTTCTTGTCTTCATTCAGCTGATATTTCGGAGGTCATGTTGGTGAGATGTTTTGAGTGTAGCTTCTGACATTATTAGAAGACACAATCTTACAGCAAACTCTGATCATATGGCTCTTATAATCATTCTCCTCCCAATGGTCATTTGGTCTGTTCTGGAGCCTGGTTGAACCCAGTGAATTTGCAGAACTTTTAATAAGATTATGCTTATGTACTTTAGAGATAATTATCTTTGAACCACATGTATCTTACCTACAGATATCCTGAGAATATACTTAGTAGTTCAATTGTTTTAATAAATATTAGATTGTTCAAATATCTCCATGAAATTTGGTATACTTGAGTAAATATAGGATCAAAATTTCCTAGTTATATATAAATAGCTTTAGTTTTATTGTAATCAATAACTCTAGTTTATATTTAATATACAAATAAATATGCATATCTGTTATGGAAAAAAATACATTAAAGATTCCAATTAAAAACTTAATAACATCATGAACATATAATCCAGATAGTTGTAAATCACAGAAAAATTAGAATAATCATTTCAAATTTAGACCACTTTATACTATTTTAAAGATTATTATTTTTATTTTTGTGTACCTATCTGTGCCTGCATGAATCAATGCACTAAAAATGTGTTTAGAGCTGTACATGCTCTTAATTGCTGAGCCACCTCTCCACTCCCTACAGATACACTATAGTAAGGAATTTTCACCTTTGAAGGTAAATGAAAGAAACTCAATGCAGCTGGGAAAGTCATGAGTTATTTCTCCTCTTTGGAGCATGGTCATAACTAGGAGAGACCTGAATGAAACTATGCTTACATAAACAGACTAACAATGTGCAATAAAGTCATGATATTGATTTTAATATATCTGATGCTTTCTTTGGGATTATCACAATAGAAATATTACCTGAGTTGGCAGTTACACATAATTCTTTTGTGACTTTCTCACCCTATTTCTCACATCTGTTACTCTGTGCAGCTATGAGTTGCAATGAATCTTAGAAAATTATAATTGCCTAGTTTTTTGCTGAGGAGCATAAACCAATAGTCCAATACCACAGTTCAATTGAAACTACATTTTAAAGTAGAGGTTCATAGGAAATCATTCTACAGAAATATTGTCACCTGTATATTTCTATAGCATATAATTTAAACAATTTTCATGGAGATTTTGATAAGTCAACTTATTCTATATAATGCCAAAATCCTTCTGTTATGGACTAGATGGAGGCAGTCTGCACCACCCTTCTCATAAATAATGGGTGTAATCCATGCTGACAGTCTCATTTCTTCATAAGCCGATTTATTAGACACTTGTAACATTTTTATTTATTTTTACTTATAATAAAGTAGTATAAAAATGTTGCTCTGGATGTATGATGAAAACTTAATAAGACATATTAACCTGTCTTTACTCAAAGGAAATTATGAAATTTTGTTTTATGTCATGGCAAAAATGAACATACAATGTCTACTATAAGCACATTTTAGGGGTAGACTTTTTTGTCTGTGCTAGAGTTTGAATCAAGAATTTCCTATATGCTAACTAAATATACTACCACTGAGCCATATCCCTAGACATAGAACTAAATCTTCATTCTCTAGGAGCAATATCACGTTAGAGTATTCAAAGACAATGGTTGGTAAAACACTGATGTAATCATCAAGGTTTGCATTTCTTCACATTTATATGCTTTACCTCTACAAAATGCTCAAAGTCTGCTTGTTTAGAAATAGGGCAGGTTCAAAATATTTTTACCACACTGCCTCCTAGTAATGTCAGCAAAGATGGCTCATTCTTTCTTTGCCAATATTTTTATTTAGCAACTATTAGTCCCAGAATTGAATAATCTAAATATGGTAGTACATCAGCCATTAATATCAATAAGATTAAATATATTTAATAATCATCATAGAGCCACGTGTGTGAAGAATGATCTTTCAATTTGGCTTGAGAGTTGACCTTCTTATTATATTAATTTATTAAATGCTCACTATAGTAAGTGATATGTTCACAAACAAGAACTACCTTTGTGGTAGTTGCATATTTGATTCCTTGCAATGGAACCCAAATTGGTGGCTTTTTTTCTTTTTTTTACTTGACCTGCATGAGGAACAACCGGCCTAGGGAGTTTTCTTCAGTTTAGGAAGAGACATTTAAACAGGTTGTTGTATATAACAAAAAGCATATATTCCACACATTTGGATTTTGAAAATAGCATCTTCCAAAACAGATTCTATCATACAGACATTCTGTCTTTTGTCTCACCCTCAAAGGTACAACTCAAGGAAGATTGTCAGTCACTTTCCTCTGTGTCCTACAGAATGTCTGGCAGTTTCTTCTGTGTTGCACGAAACCTGAAGGACCGTTCTGCCTCGTTTTGGCAAAGATCAGTGGGTGCTGCATGTCCAATTTATACAACATACTGTCAATCAGTCCAG